ATCTGTCTTACCCTACAGGAAAATAGGAGGGGAAGGGGACAAGAGAGTAGGGGGATGATAGAGAAGAGGGCAGATTGGGAAAGGGGGTAATCACAAGCAAATGCTTCTGAGGGTCAAAAGAAAGAATAGAATAAATGGGGGAGCAGGATAGGATTAAGGGAAATAGAGTTAGTGTTTCACAGCATGTCTACTATGGAAGTGTTTTGCATAACTGCACATGTATAGCCTATATTGAGTTGCTTGCCTTTTCAATGAGGTTGGGTGGGGAGGGAGGGAGAAAATCTGGAACCCAAAGTTTAAAAAATACATGTTTAAAAAAAATGTTTTCACATGCAACTGGGAAATAAGAAATACAGGAAATGGGGTACAGAAATCCATCATGCCCTACAGAAAAATAGAAGGAGAAGGGGGAGGAGAGATAGCAGGGAAACCAGACTAGGGGAAGGGGTATTCAGAATGCATGCCATCTTGGGGTGGGGGGCGGGGCAAGATGGGGTGCAAATTTGAAACTCAAAATCTTGTGGAAGTAAATGTTGAAAACTAAAAATAAAAAAAAAGAAAAGAAAAGAAAAAAAGAAGACATTCAAATGGAGGAGACATGTAAATAGTAGGGCACATATAAGATACAGACAGAATAGACGGGAGATAATGTGCAAAGGCACGCTCTTTGTGAGCACCAAGGGTTTCATTTGTTGTGCTTAACCCAGGGCCTGGCACCAAGGAGACAATACCTGATGACTGATTTGGGGATCAGTAAAGACAGATGTGAAAAGAAGTAAATTTCATTATCTGCTGCATAGTAAGGAAAGAGTTGTGGTTTGCTTCTGTTATCAGCATTATCAAGATTAATCTGCTCAGGGCCAGTGCAGTCACTTGGCTGCATGACTTTTTCACATTAGGGGTTACCAAACATGCTGGATCAAGTTTTCCTCCTCACAATTGTGTAGTTCTATCAACCAGAAGACAACATTCTAGTTAATTTCTATGCTGGCACTCACTGGCCAGGTTAAGTAAACCTCTCCAAAGAACTGATTCTTAATATAAAATACTTAACAAGTATTAAAAACAAGTTTGAAGTTCTAGTTTAAATAGGCTCCCAAAGAAATCAGACCAAGGAAAATGATCAATATGAACAAAAATATTTATAGCAGTTCTTGCTGTAGTCACAAATAACTGAAAATGATTGAATGCCCATGTATTGGGAGTATGGCTAAACAAATAATGGTATACGAATATAATGGAATACTATTGTACCATAAAAAATGATGAAATGGTAAATTTCAGAGAAACTTGAGAAGAACTGTTACTGTAGAACCAGGAAGACAATCTATATAATAACTTTATAAAGAAACAAATCAGTAAGAATTAGGGAACTTTGATCAATGCAATTACCAAACACTTTTCGAGAGGACTAATTATGAAGCTTACTTAACCTACTTCTTGACAATTAATGGTCTCAAGATATGGATGGAGATATTCATTTACAGATACAGCCAATTTAGGAATTTGTTCTGTTTGATCATGTACATTTATCATGAGAGTTTTCTTTTCCCTTTTTCTCCTGCAACAGAAGAAGCAGAGTGGGATGGGAGGGCAATGAGGATTAGGGTAACCCCCGCAAAAAAAGAGGGTCACTGAGGGATTTTTTGAAGTCATTCTGCAGATTCGTGGCACAGTGGACACAGTCCTGAACTGGGAAGTCAGAAGTCCTATTCAGATCCTGCACCTCAACCACTTACTTGCTGAGTGACCTTGGGCAAGTCCTTGAAAATGTTAACCTCAGTTTCTTGTAAAATTAGGATAATAGCACCTACCTCACAGGGTCACCGTGAGGCTCAAATGAGATCACATGTCAAGTGCTTTGCAAACGTTAAAAGCACTACATGGGGGCAGTTAGGTGGCACAGTGGATAGAGCACCGGCCCTGGAGTCAGGGGGACCTGAGTTCAAATCCCACCTCAGACTCTAGACACTTACTAGCTCTGTGACCCTGGGCAAGTCACTTAACCCCATTGCCTAGCCAGAAACAAAACAAAACAAAACAAAAAAAAGCACTACATGAATGTTCTTAAAAAACATATATATATATATGTTAAAGAACAGAAGGAAGGCCAGAAAGATTACTCAAGGAGGACAATTTTAAAAGTAGCATTATACACTTATATACTTCAAAAGAAAAACAGGCCACACGTAAAGATTTTGGTTTCACAATCTTATTTTTTTGTTCTATTATGTATATACACATGCTTATTCTATTTCAAAGTTCAAAATTTAAAAAAAAAAACAAAAACTTTTTTTTTAAATGTTTGGGGACATATAGTCAGATCTCCCATAGGGTCCCATTCCAATGCCTCACTGTGGCATGGAATGAAACCTGAGATCTCAAAAGTGGTGTCAATGCAGCCTGACCATGGAGTTTCATTCAAAGAGTGAAGTGTTAATAGGAAACCTTTGCATTCATAGAACCATGTTTCACACAGATAGCTTCTAAGGCGTTTTCAATCCATTTTAAGCAGCAGATGGCCCAGATCAAGTTAATAATCACTCTTCTCAGACGGACCTTGCAGTGAGAAAAGCAAGTGAAGGAGAGATCTCAAAAGATCAAGGAGGGTACTAAACATGTTATCCAATACTACAAAGTCACAGGCTTTCCTAAATTTTGTTCCATCCATTATTTTAATATAGCCTTCAATCAATCAACAAGCATTTATTTAGTGCTTACTATTTGTCGGGCACTATATACTAAGTGCTGAAGTTAAAACAAAAAACCAACTATTTTTGTTTATTATATTGCTTTTTAATTATCCTCAATTTAATAACTTAAGTTTGTCCCCTAAAGTACCAGCTCAATTTTTATGTCATACTAACCAAAGAATGTCAAGCACTTTCATAAGGGAATTATAATCCTCACCCTTCTTCAAAGCAGAAGTCTGAAAATTTCACAACAGGAAACTAGTTAACCACAGGCTCTGAGTAATAAGTGTGTTGTACTGCTCCCAAGCTCGCTCACTCTTGCGCGCGCTCTCTCTCTCTCTCTCTCTATATATATATATTTCAACTGCTGACTGCTGTCATCTTTCAAATATTAAAAATTAAAAATATAAAAAACTCAAATGAGTTTTGTCAGCAAAAGAATATTAGCAAATTTCCTACTGTTTCCAAGTACAATAGTCTTTATTTATAACTAAGAGAGTGTACTAAGTTATTTTTAAAATAACTCATAATTCTAAATCACTATTGACTGGGGAAATGCAAATTAAAACAACTCTGAGATACCATCTCACATCTATCAAATTGGCTATTATAGAAAAGGAAAATGACAAATGCTGGAAAGGATGTGGAGAAAGTGGGACACTAATAATACACTGCTGATGGAGTTGTGAACTGGTTCATCCGTTCTGGAGAACAATTTGGAACTATGCCCAACGGGCTATCAAACTCTGCATACCTTTTGACCCAACAATACCACTACTAGGTTTGTATCCCAAAGAGATCAAAGAAAAAGGAAAAGGACCCATTTGTACAAAAACATATATAGCAGCTCTTTCTCTGATGGCAAAGAACTTGAAATTGAGGGGATGCTCATCTATTGGGGAATGGTTAAACAAGGTGTGGTATATGATTGTGATAGAATACTACTGTGCTTTGAGAAATGATAAGCAGGATGGTTTCAGAAAAACCCGAAAATAATTTATATGACCCAATACAAAGTGAAGTGAGCAGAAGCAGGAGAACATTGGACACAGTAACAGTAATATTGCAACAATAATCAACTGTGAATGATTCAGCTATTTTCAGCAATACAAAGATCCAAGACAATTCTGAAGGACTCATGATGAAAAATGTTATCTACCTCCAGAAAAAGAACTGATGGAGTCTGAATGCAGATCCAAGCATACTATTTTTTAACTTGATTTTTCTTGAACTGTTTGTTTTTTTTTCTGGTCTGAGTTTTCTTTCCCAACAGGACTAATATGGAAATGTTTTGCATGACTGCACACATATAATCTATATCAAAATGCTTGCCTTTTCAGGGCGGGGGAGGGAAAGAGAAATAATTTGGAACTCAAAAAATTTTTTAAATGAATATAAAAATTGTTTTTTACCTGTGGTTGGAAAAATATATAAAATTTTAAAACAAAACAAAAAACCTCATAAGCATGAGAGGTATGTGGTGGTTGCTTAAGATTCTGAAACACTTGATTCACTGAAATGACAACTGGCTTTTTTTTCCAAATAGTGAACCATGAGAAGCAATGGCTATTGCTTCTTAACATAAAGCCTATGTAACCCTAGAAGAACTTTAGATTTAAGTAGCTCTGTGAAAACCACTCCATCTGTAAAGAATGTTCTTGTTCTTCCCCCACCATCTCACCAGCTCTGAGTTTGACAATAATCCCTCAATTCTAACTACTAAGCATGAAACAACGACTGAATCATCATGCAGCCAAGACCATCTGGGAGCTCTCTGACCCACAGAGTCTGGCAATCAATACCACAACAATGAATCATTAATATTTTAAATGAGCTATCAGTCCCATTAAAAGGATCACTTAAATTTTTAGGTTAACAAAACCAAGTGAGCTATTTAAAAGAAGGTTCAAAAACACATCTCTGCTCCTTTCAGAAGTCCTCTTGTTGGATATCTGCACTTATTTTCAATTACACAGAATGCTTTGTGGTCGGGGGAAATCCTAAGGGTGGTTTTGATAAATCTGTTTAATTTGAAACAATTAAGATAAACAAACCTCTGCTGCCCATAATCAAAAATCAGACTTAAATTAATGTTGCTCAATCATTCTAATCCAGACAGGTTAAGCCAACATATCTTTCCACAGCATATGAAATTTGGCATATACCTCTTTGCCAACTTGAGTGAAACAAGTAAATAAGAACAGAATTTAAGTGTTAGAAGGGATCTCAAAGATCATCTTTGATCCCACACTGTTCACACATAATGCTTTTCTCTCTCATCCATAAGCCCACAGGAAAGAAACTTACGTATAAGTGAAAATGTAAAAAGTGTGACAACACTTTAGGTGCAGCAACAGGGAACTTTGTAAGAAGAGTTTGCAGGTAGACTTCCAAATCTTTCTGTCTTTTCTCCACCAAACTTTTGGAATTTTTTCCAATTATCTTTTTAGGAGGAAGTAGGTTCTTATCAATCTTCTTTTCAGCAATAAGCTATAAGAAAACACACCCAGATTAACATCAAATAGTTTTGGTTTTCCCAAAAAGGAAGCCAAAAGCTTGAAGCACAGCAATTACCCAATCTTTCAAGGTCTCTCATTCATACTATGGGATAGAATGACTGGACTATGGCTCTAGGAATCAGAGCACCTAAATCTGTTTCTATAAACCCTATCAGTAAAAACACCAGCACATTTCAGGGTGGGAACACCATCGAGAAGCCTTCAGGTACAGTCACAAAAGCAACATCATGAAACCTCCCCCAACCCCCACAAGAACTTCCTCAATTGAGGCACTGGTGTTTCCTTTAAAACATTTAGATGGAAAGTAACCCAGTTGAAGGGATTTTTCTAAAAGAAAACTAGAGCAAGAACCAACAACTCCTACCACTGGGCTGGGCAAAAGTAGATAATAAAGTATAAAGAAGACTGATTAGCTAAGATACATACATCAGAACAAAAAATTCAAATCCCCCAAATGACTTCTGTCCAGCCCATCTTAATGACACAGCTCATACTTGGGAGGGAGTTGGCAGGGGTTAAGTATCTAGTGAAGAACTCAAAATAAGAGTCACTATATACTCTAGATGAACTGCATAAAATTTCAAAGCACTAAAGCATGATGTTTTTAAGTTCTGGGATCAACATTTAGGGAGCCAGCTAATTGTAGCCTTTTTTTTTTTTTTTTTTTTTTAGTAATATTAATGCAAATTGCGTTCTTCAGTTAAAAAAAAAAGAGGGAGAAATAAGTTCTAGACTTTTTAAGATGCTTTTCCCCTCACAAAACAGCACAATGAAAAATCTGCTCAAATAGTGTACAATTCAAGAACACAAAGCTACCACCTTCTAGAGATGCTACCTTTTCATGTAGATCATGGAAGTCACTGTAACGATGTTTGACTGTCCATTGATGGTTGCCAACAGTAACCTGGATAATATAGACCTAAAAAGGAAATCAACAGCAACATGAAGGAGAGATCCCTCTGACAAGTCCAGGTCAGAGCAACAGGTATAACGTTCAATAATCCCTCCTAGAGATGACAATTCCACAGAAAAGACTGACAAGACCAAGCCAGGACTAAGTGACTTATATCCCAGGCACACCTACCTAGATCTCTGGATCATTACATGGCTTCTGCACAGCCTACTTTTCTACCTCTTTCCATTATTGAATTCCAAATTACTTATACACACCACGTATATATGTATACATACATAGACATACACGTGCATGAACACATTTATATGTGTATATACATATAAGTATATTAATGTACACATACAACATATATATAACATGATAAAGACATACATTTTATTAATTCTATTTTTCTAAAATAGACATGAAAATGAGGCCTATTTTACAGGAAAGGGGAGGGAGGTTTGGTCAGGGAAAACTAGGGAGTTGAACAATATTTCATTCTCCATTATGAGAAAGGACCCTGACCAGCCGAACTTTATTCTCAAGACTTCACCATCATGGCCTCAAGGTGACTACTTCCCCATTCCTTTTCAGCTCTTCTTTATGTGTAGTCTTACCCATTAGAGTATAAGCTCCTTGAGTGGAGAGACTGCTTGTTTTTGCTTAATCTGTATCTCTAGCTCTTAGCACAGTGACTAACACATAGTACTTAATAAATAATTGTCAACTTGATTCCACAACTCACAACTGAATATTGTACATATGCCCTGGGTAGTTCCCTAGCCCCTGAAATCAAGTATCACATTTAGAGGCTTTCATGTCAATCAGACCTATATGGAAGCACTCTGACTCAAACCAATTCATCTTATACATAAGGAAGCATAACCTTCCTAAAGCCCAGCTCTGATCATGTCACATCACTATCTAGCCAAAACTTCAATGGCCCTCTTCTACTTGCGCTATAAAGTCCAAGTTCTAAGTCTGGCATTAAAGGCTCTCTATACTCTTCCCTCAACCTATCTTTCTAGTCTTATCACTTATCTCTTTTAAAAAGTAGCAATTGTGCCTTTTAATTTTATACTGGTCATTTGCCTACCATAGAATTTCAAAGCACAATACTGATTTCATTGCATTCTTTAAGACTATCTCCCTGGTACCACTCTGCATCTATCAGATTGGCTAACATGACAGAAAAGGAAAATGACAAATGCTGGAAAGGATGTGGAAAAACTGGAACACTAACGCAGTGTTGGTGGAGTTGTAAACTGGTCCATCCATTCTGGAGAAAAATTTGGAACTATACCTAAAGGGCTATCAAACTCTGCATACCCTTTGACCCAACAATACACCACTACTAGGTCTGTACCCCAAAGACATCAAAGAAAAAGGAAAGGGACCTATTTGCAGAAAAACATTTATAGCAGCTCTTTCTGTGGTGGTAAAGAACTGGAAATTGAGGGAATGGCTAAACAAATTGTGATGGAATACTACTGTGCTATAAAAAAATGACAAGCAGGACAGTTTCAGAAAAACTTGGCAAGACTTATATGAACAGATGCAAAGTGAAGTGAGCAGAACAGGAGAACACTGAACACAGTAATTGCAATTCTGCAACAATGACCAACTGTGAGACTTAACTACTCTGATCAACACAATGATTCAAGACAATTCTGAAGGACTCATGAAGAATGATGGCTGCCACCGTAACTCCAGAGAGGGAACTGATGAACTCTGAGGGCAGACTGAAACTTACTTTTTTCTCACTTCCTTTGCTTTTTTTGCTTTTCTTATTACATTTCATATGGAAATGTTCTGCATGATTTCACATGTATAACTGATATCATATTGCTTGCCTTCTCAATGGGTGGGGAAGAGAAAGAGGAGAGAATTCAGAACTCAAAATTTGGAAAAAAAAAAAGAATGCTAAGAATAAATAAGTTTACTTTAAAAATAACACTTCTTGTCAAAAGGAAGTGGGCCCGGTCAATATTTTATCTCAACTGGAATGTCACATTTCTTCATACTGGCTTTGCTTCTTGAGGCAATTAGGTCCCTTCCAACTTTAAAGGCAGGGAAGTAGCTTGGTGTAGTGGAAAAAATACTAGACTCAAAAGTTAGGTGGGATCTAAACTCAAATTCTGTCTTCCACACTAGCTGTGCGGTCATGGAAAGTCACTCAATCTCTAAGCCTCAAGTCCCTCTCCTATGTGAAAAAGACATAAGACCCGCAGTAGTTTTCGAAGTATTTTTCAAAGGTTGTTTGTTGTCAGGCCCAAATGAGAATTTTGCAAAGTGCTTTGTAAGCCTTAAAGTTCCGTGTAAATATTAGCTATTACGATTATTCAAGTTCAATGTGATACTCTTAGAGATCTAATTCAAACTTACCATTTAGAAGCAGCTAGTGGAACAGGAGAGAGAGAGCTGGGCCTGAAGTCAAGACCTGAGCTCCAATTTTAGCCTTAGACACTGCTAAGCTGTATGACCCTGGCTAAGTCACTTAAATTCTACCTGCCTCAACTTCTTCAACTGGAAAACGGGGATAATAACAGCATCTACTAGTTGGGGTTGTTGGGAAGACCAAATGTGATATCTGTAAAGTATTTAGCACAGTCCCTGGCACATAGTAGGACCTCAATAAATTCCTCCCTGCTTCACAGGGTTGGGAAGATCAGATAAGATAACATAGGTAAAGTGTTTTAAAATCAGACCCATGAAGAAACTGAAACCTAGAGAAGAGGCTGTCACACAGCAAGTGTATTCTTGCATCAGAGCAAATCTGGAAAAATAGTGTTTTTCTTTTAATGGTGGGACTGGAATCAACATAAAATAAAATCTACCTTGTCTCGTGGAGCCAACAGTGTTATGAATGTTAGCTATTATTATTATTACACGTTAAGATCTGTAACTTTTACTGATATAAGGACATTATAGGTAAAGTAATATTTAAATGATTTTCTGCAGACATAAGAGAGTTCATGCCAGAACTCTGTTGGTCAGTGGCAGGTGAAGTAAGGGTGGCAAAGGCATGTAATTACTTAACATATTCTTCCCTGAGAGGATCAAGGTCTAACATTCTGCTTTCAGTAACAGTGTGGCAAGCTTAATACGTAAGCTCAACACAAACGCCAAAGCTCTGGTTTAAGTGTCAGGCCTCTTTAGAAAAGTCCCTACACAGGGATTAAGTCAGGTTGCAACTGATTTAGCAGAATACATGAGGCAGACTATTTTGTATGGTTCAATCCATACCCACTGTAACCATCATGCTCCACATTCTCCGGCAATCAGGCAAGAAGCTTGATCTATACTGATGTCTAACGTCTAAGGTCTCTGCTGCAGAGACTTAACCGAAGTGGTCTATGAACATTACTGGATAAAACCAAGACCTCTTGGGAAGGTTTTCTGAGTAAAACTGAGTCATGATGCCTTCAAAGTGATTTAAGAGAGAGCTATCAAACATGAGAAATTACCCTCCATACACAATCAGGTCAAATTTCTAGCCTGGCTCTGGAGTAAAAAGCCTGAGTTCAAATCCTGTCTCAGTCACATACCCTGTGTAACCACAAGAAGGTTAATAGTCCCTCTTAACCTCTCTGCACCCGTTTCCTCAACTGTAAAAGGAGGTTGGTCTAGATAGACTCTAGGGGCATTCCACGTCCAAAACAATGACCCAATGATTTATCTTACAAACAGAATAGCAAATTAAACATCTCAGAGATTACTTTAGAATGTGAGCTCCTTGAGGAAAGGGGCAGATTTTGCCTTTGTATCCCTCACCCTTTACAGCACGGTACTAAATGCTTGTTGATTGCTGTTTCATGATTCATCGAGGAGCCAGCAAAGAAGCAGATTAGCTCAAATCTTTAAGCTTTAATAACTCTGCCGGCTCTACCAGGTGGCTTTCCTAATCAGTTAAGATTACTTAAATTTAAATTCTTACATCAGTGAAAATGAGCTGCTACCACACCTCAAAAAACCACATCAGAGCCTTTCAGATCTCTTCCTCGGTTTAAAAGAAAACCAGTTTAAAGCAACTAGGGAGGAAGGAGGGGCCAGCAATGAATGCCCCTCGGGATAAAACATTCCCAAAGGTTTTGAACAGGAGGCTAGGGGTTGTAGAGTTTAAAGAATAAGACTTAGAGAAAAATCTGTTTATACCCTAAGCTCCACTTGCTTGTCCCCTCCAACATCCAATGAGTCAGGAAACCAACCCCAAATCATTAGGCCCAGACAAATTTCTAGGCTGTGGAAAACCCCATCTCCGAGGGTTTCCCACTCACAGTTGCTTGGGGGGGGGGGGAACGACACCTTGCTCTATTGCTGAAGAATTTTCCCTTACAGCCTAAATGCCTTTCCTCGGTTGATACCCCACTCTATCCCGCCTAGATCTTATCTGTGCATACTTGCTTTCGTCTCGTTTCTCTGCCCCCACCCTCCTCCCCATTAGACAGTGGGCTCCAGGAAAGCAGGGATCCTCTTCTGTCTTTCTGGCATCCTCCGGGTCTCAGTACCAGGTACACAGCAGGCGCTTAATAAATGCTTGACACCTCGATGCGGGGCGGGGGACCACTCTCTCCCGCACCCTTCCCCCACCCTCTGACTCACCCCCCCAGGCAGAGTCTTTAATCATTTTCCCCACAGCACGACTGAAAAGAACAAGATTAACATCCCCCCTTCTCCCTCCCCAGCCCCCCCCCCCAGACGCGCACGCGTGTTCCAGGGGTTGCTCGCAGTCCAACGGCCCCGGCCTCCTCTCAGGGTCCGTCGGTGTCCCCTGCCCACCCCCGCTGCTAAGGCCCCGCTAGCCATTGGCTCCGAAGACGGGGAGCTGCCCTCTGGCTTTCGTCTTTCTCGACAGCCGCCTGACCTTCAGGCTGACCGGGTGGTCAGCCCTCTGCCCCCTCCTCCGCGGCTCCTCACCGTGTAGTTCTCCACCAGCTCGGAGCCCGGGATCCGCGCCTGCTTGGCTGGCTCGGCCTCCTCCTCCTCGGGCCCGAAGCCCCTGCCGGCCGCCGCCATGGCCCGCGGAGCTCGCCCGCGGAGCGGTCACTGACGCCGCCCTCTCCCAGCAACCCTGCCGCAGCCCCCGGTCCGGCCCCCGCCGCAGCCCCGGAGTACGCGGAGACCGCCGCCGCCACCCTGGGCCTGCAACCCAGCTCCGGCCGCGGCTTCCACCGCCATATTTGTTTGTAGCCGGCTCACGGGGGAGGCCCCGCCCAACTTTATTGACAGCAACTGGACGCGCACACGAAGAGGGGCGGGGCCGTGGGGTAGCCCTTCCCCTCCCCCCGCCCCGCATGCGCACAGTGGCTCTGTCTGGAATTACTGAAAGGTGGATTGTCAGACTCTAAGCAATTAGCAAATTAAAAGGTTTTTCAGTTACCATCTAGACCCCATTTCTCCTTTTCTCATCCTGCCTCCCAGAGAAGCCACCGACTTATTTATTATTGGCTTTAATTCATGCCTTCCAAACCAAAAATTTCAGCGCATTTTTCAGTTGGGGAAACTGAGGCATAATGAGAGGAAGCGACTTAGAATCGCAGTAAGTCTGGCAGGGGCTGTGGAGCCTAAGAGTTTCCCAGGTGCTGGTCTTCCAAAGCGCACTGGGGGAAGTTTTTAAGGGGTAATAAAACTGACCACTAAAGCAACTTTGTAATACCTCTAAACCTAAAAAACCGATTTTGTTTTATCTTCCTTACTCATAATAACTCATTTTTTCTATAGAACTTTCAGGTTTTAAAGGCTTTCCTCCCTATAATAACCCAGTGAGAAAAATAGGGCAAGTAGATTTGTTCCCACTTGACACATGAGGGAACAGAGGCTAAGAGCGGGGTTGTGATATGTCCAAGTAATGAATTGGTTAAGTGTCAGAGCTTGGATTTGAATTCATTTCTCCCAATTCCCAAGTCTGCCATTCTTCTCGCTATAACAGGCCATTGCTTTATTGTATCTTGTTCTTCTCAGCCCAGGTCTTCTTCATTCTCAGCTCCTAGAATCATAGAATCAGAGAGCTATAAGGGGCCTCCATACACAGTATCCCTGGCCAAGTGGTCATCCAGCCTTTGCCCCTCAGATTGTAAGCTCCTTGAAGGGAGTAACTGTCTTCTGCTTCTTTTAGTATCCCCAGTGCCAGTGTTTGGCACATTTTGTTGTTGAGTGGTTTTGATGGGGATGGGATCTGGACTCCCAAAAGGAAAAGCCTTGGACCACGTGGCCACATCTCTGGCATTTTCCTGACGCTATAATACTTTCGCTGTGGCTATGCCCAATCTCCCAGTGCTGTTCTGTTACCTCCCAATTGCCCCTGGCCGCTTCCCACCCTTAATCCTGTCTAGACTCTATTCTCCCTCAGTCACCTGGTCCAGGTCCCTGGCATTCTGTTACCTCGAAGTCACCCCAGCTTACCACTCCCATCCAGATCCTCCTTAGACCTCTAGTCACCCCAAACTACTTGGTCACTCCTAGATCCCTCCCACAGTCTTTCTGTATATAAGGTCCATTTTGTCTCTATTAAGGTGCTCAGATTCTTAAAATCTGACCCACTTGCATTAGTGATACAAATGCTTAGATTCCTTGAGAGTCTGGCCGATGTGTTGGATCTTTAATAAACCTTGTCTTTGACTGAAAGAAGGCTTGGATCAAATTCATTCAAGAAGGACCCATGTATCATGATTTTGGGGTCCCAGCAACCCTAAACCTTAACAGTTTCAGTCATGTCCAACTCTTTGTGACTTCATTTGGGGTTTTCTTGGCAAAGATATTTCCTACATAAGCACTTACTATGTGCCAAGCAGGGCGGCTAGGTGGTGCAGTGGATAGATTGCTGAGCCTGGAGTCAGGGAGACATCTTTGTGAGTTCAAGTCCAGCCTCAGACACTTAGTAGCTGTGTGAAGCTGGACAAATCACTCAACCCTGTTAGCCTTAGTTTCCTCATCAGTAAAATAAACTGTAGAAGGAAATGGCAAACCACTCTGATGGGGTTGGGATCTGGGCCCCAGAAGGGAAAAACCCTGGACTTTCCCACTTGGCCAAATCTCTGGCGTTCGCCTGAGGCTGTAATGCCATCAACTGGCCTTTCATTGTGGCTACACCCAATTTCCCCTCCATTGTTTTACAAAACTCCCTATGGCCCCTGGCCATTTCCCACATTTAATCCTAGCTAGGCTTCATTGTCCAGGTCCCAGGAGTCCTGTTCACCCCAGTTTACTAGCCACTCCCATCCAGATCCTCTTTAGACCCCTCCTCCAGTCACCCCAAACTACTTGGCCACTCCTAGATCCCTCGCACAGTCTTTCTGTATATAAGGGCCATCTTGTCACCATTAAGGTGCTCAGATTCCTAAAATCTAGCCACTGCTTAGATTCTTATAATCTAGCTAATGAGGTCTAGAGGTTAGGGGTCCTGGAATCCCAAAATCACGACACACGGGCAACCCAAGCCTTCTTTCAGCCAAAAACACAGTTTATTGAAGATTTGCCATAATAGCCAGACTCTTAAGGAATCCGAGCATCTGTGGGCCATTGGCTGGATTGTGAAAATCTGCACCATGGCTCGATTTTAGGAATCAGAACAGTGACTAGGTTATAAGAATCCTAGCATCTTAATGGAGACAAGATGGACCTTATATACAGAAAGCCTGTGGGAGGTGTGTGGTACAGCGACTCTGACACAATTAAATTCAGAGACTTCTCAAGGTGGAAGCAAAAAGTTACTCTTTATTACAATCTCGGGAGAAGGGGCATCTACTCCTCCAGTACACTACCAGCAGGAGAGAGGTGAGGCACAAAGGACAAAGCAAGGCTATATATCTTAACGCAAACAAGAAACTCCCACCCCTCGACTATTCCTTACTCCCATTGGCTGAGAGGCGGGCTTACATTCTAGGCGCGAAAATCTTTCCCATTCCCAAAGAACAAGGAAACAGGGTATAACCAATCCAAACATATATGTCCTTATTTAGTATACCTAATGCTGATGTGGCAGTGACAATCAGGAGAGGGTTTAGGGCCGAATTAAACTTATGGCCTGTTGGCTCTCTCAGAGCCTATCTCTAGTTTCGAGACAGTCTTTTCATCACCACCCTGAGAAGTCTTCACAGAGGTTATATCTCATTCAGAGGGATCTAGGAGTGACCAAGTAGTTTGGGGTGACTAGAGGAGGGGATCTGGTTGGGAGGAGAAATGGCCAGGGGCCATAGGGAGGTAAGATAATGGAGGGGAGATTGGGTGTAGCCACAATGAAAGGCTAGTTGATGGGATTATAGCCTCATGTGAAAGCCAGAGATTTGCCCATGTGGGAAAGTCCAGGGTTTTTCCTTTCTGGGGCCCAGATCCCAACCCCATCCTAGCCACTGCTCAGATTCTTAAAATCTAGCCAATAGCTTACTGATGTTCAGACTCCTTAAGAGTCTGCCCAATATGATGGTATAAAAAATATATATATATATAAATATATATAATGATAAACCTTGTCTTTGAGTGAAAGAAGGCTTGGGTTGAATTCTTTTGGACAGGACCCGTTTTGTGATTTTGGCGTCCCAGTACCCCTGAACCTCTAAACCACATCAGCTCCAGTATTCTTGCCAAGAAAACCCCAAATGGGGCAACAGGGTTAGACACAACTAAAAAACGCCTGAACTTCTTGACTCCAGGTCCAGCACTCTACCCGTTATGGCACACTGCCTGTGGTTAATCAAGAGACAGTGCGATACTGTGGAAAGAGTATTGACTCGAAAGTCAGAAGGCACTGGGATCAAATGTTGCCTCTGATGTTTGTGCTACCCCTGTGACCTTGGGCAAATTGCTTAACCTCCCTATGTGTCAGTTTCCTCTCCTGTAAAATGGTGGAGTTGGATTAGATTAGATGGCGTTGGAAGCCCCTTCCAGCTCTGGGTATGATCCTGGGATCCTATGATGTGACCGATCCTAAAGCCAGTAAGTGGCAGATGTAAGACTTGTACCCAGGTCTCCTGATTCCAGGAGCAAGGCATGCTCGCCACTCATTATGTCCCACCTCAAATTTTTACATACTACACAGGACCTGGGCCAGTCATTTAAGGTCTCAAAGCTTCAGTTTCCTCCTTTGTAAAGTGGGGGTGATGACAGTGCCCCTGTGTGTGTGTGTGTGTGTGTGTGTGTGTGTGTGTGTACATTTATCAAACTTTAAAACACTATAGAAATATCAGTTATTATTATTATAACATGTTCATTCCTCCACTTTCAGGCCTTTTAGGGGCAGATAATATAGGTTCCAGCATTGCCTCTTTGAAATGCAAACTTGGTGTGATCTCAGCCTTCTTTCTGGAAGGTGTCTGAATCCTGCTAAAGACACCCTCATGCCTGAATTCAGGGTTTAAGGTGGGGGTCTGAACCTTAAATGCTGTCTCCTCAGAGCTGAGTCAGAATTAACTCCAATTGATTCCCTCTGATATTACCTCTTGTTTACACCATATACACACACATCTTGAATGTATAACTCTTTGCCTCGGGCCTCCCCTATTCCTATGGGCGCCCCTTGAGAACAAAGAATGAATTTTTGTCTTACTTTGTGTTCTCAATGCTTAGCCTGCCACATAATAAGCACTTAATAAATACTTGTTGACTGACTGACTGACGTAAATAGAGAAAATTCAGATAACTAGTATTCTAAAATTCAGATGACAATCCTAAAAAGTAATTGTAGTTAATAGTTCAAAACTCATAGCATGACTGTCAAAAAAAGACAAAGTGAAAGTTTAGACTTCTTAACCTGGCATTTAAGGCCCTTCCAGCCCCCACTGGTCCCACCAGATCTCCTTAGCCTTATCTCCTGTTACCTGCTCCCTTACACTGTACTCCTCACTGACTTCTTTGTCTCTCTAACTGGGATCCATATGGAATGTCTTTTGAACTAGTCAATTCTTACTCATCCTTCAAAACCCAGCTCAAGTACTTCCTTCTCCATGAAGGCTTCTTCCCTGAAGGCTGGTAGTGATCTCTCCTTTAAATCCTTAGACAAGTATGTCTGTACTTCTATTATT